AAACTTTTATATTTCAAAGTAATATTTTATATTATCTTATTTGAAGAAAAATAATTACAGTGCTAACAATAGCAATTAGCTGATTTACATAGCCATGATAGATCTGATTGTGTGTGTGTGTGTGTGTGTGTGTGTGTGTGTGTGTGTGTGTTACTAGGGTTTGGACCCAGAGCCTTTGTGCTGAGCTACATCCCTACCTCTTTTCTTATTTTTTTTTATTTTGAGACAGCATCTTACAAAGTTGCTCAGACTAAAAAAAAAAAAAAACAAAACAAACAAAAAAAAAACTATAAAAGGGCGGGGATTTAGCTCAGCGGCATAAGCGTCTGCCTTGCAAACAGGCAGTCATGAGTTCGATCCCCGATAAAAAGGAAAAAGACAAAAAAAACCACCAAAAAACAAAGTTGCCCAGACTGAGGTTGAACTTGTGACTTCCTGCTTCAGCCTTCCAGAGTGCTGGGATAATAGACATGAACCACCTCATCCATCTAATTTCTTAATTTCTAACAAAGCTGTTGTTAGATAGCTAACTAGTAAAATTATTCCTATTACATGGACCTTACCATCCATTATCATGATTAGATTATCCCCCTTATTTTAACAATACAATTATGACGGATGGATATATAGCTCAGTGAAAGAGCACTTGTCTACATGCAGGAGGCCTTGGTTTCAACCTCCAGCACCAAGAAAAAGCACATTGATGCTACATGATAAAAGAGAGATCCCAACTGTACAGTTCAAAAAACTTCAAACTGATCTTTTTGTGTGATGATAAAGGAACTGAAAGAAGTATTTAGTTACATTACCCAGGCTCTCTGGTAGAGGGAACTAGCTCGGAGGAACTAAGAAACTAAAATAGAGAAGTAGAAAGGGGTGGCTCAGCCCTTGTCATCCAAACAAGCACAGAAGGATTCAGTTGGTCTTGTAAAAAGAGGACTGACAGCTGGAGATCTGAGTGTTGGCCCTAACTTAATTTTGTTGTTGTTGCTTTAAACTTAACTTGTGTGATTTTGAGGAAGCCCTCATTTCTTTCAAGGTCTGAAGTTTCCCATGAATGAAGTCCTGGGTTCAAACTCAGAACCATTTAAAAACCAAATAAACAAGCCGGGTTTGGAGGTGCACTCCTGTAATCCCAACAACTCAGGAAGCGGATCATTTCAAGTTCGAGACCAGCCTGGGCTACAAAGTGAGCCCAAGGTCAGCCTGAACTGCATTGTGAGACTCTGTCTCAAAAAGACAAAAAAATAAAAAATAAAAAAAATAAAAATAAACACCTCAAACTGAAGTTTCATGTCTTAAAAGTGAAGGAACAGGGGGCTGGGGATTTAGCTCAGTGGCATAAGTGCCTGTCTGGCAAGCACACAGTTGTGAGTTTGACCCCCAGCACCAAAAAAAATCCAAAACCAAAAAAACAAAAACAATGAAGGAACAAACTATCTAAAACAATACAACTTAGAATTTACAGAAATTTTTAAAGAGTAGCACAAGGAGAGCTGGTCGGGATGGCGCATGCCTGTAATTCTAGCACTTGAGAAGCGGAGGAAGGAAGATTGCCACAAATTCCAGGCCAGCCTGAGCTACACAGTGAGTTTGAGGCTAGCCTGAACTACATAGTAAAATACTGTCTCCAAAAAAAAAGGAAAAGGTATACCCATAAATCCTTTATTCAGATCATAGGGTACGCACATTTGCCTCCATATTCTCTTTACATAAATAGTTACTGATGTCTATATAGATACAGATTTTTTTCCTCCCTGAATCATTTGAAACTAAGGGGTATCACATTCCTTTAACCTTGTCATTTCCTACCAATAATCATTATCTCTCTGGGCTTGTTACGTAGCTCAGTGGTATAGTACTAGCCTAGCAGGATGCATGAGGCCATGCTTTTGGTTCCTGGCATTCTCTCTCTAGGGAATGATTTTCTCATGTAGCCACAGTAGGGATATAAAGACCAAAACATTTAAAATTGATACAATGCTATTACCTAACTCACAGTCCATACCAAATTTTGTTGGTGATCATGAAAACATGATTCATGTTTTTTTCTGATATAGAATCAATTTGTAGATCACATATGCCATTTAGTTGTCGTGTCTCTCTTTTTTTTTACCCACCCCCCTTTTTTTTATCTTCTATTTCTTTTAATCTGAACCATTCCTGAGCCTTCTCTGTTTCCTGATCTTGATATTTTTGAATAGTTCTGATCAGTTGTTTCATAAAATGGCCTCAATTTGAATTTCTTAGTTTATCTGAGGTTTTTTTTTTTTTTTTTTTTTTTTTTTTTTTTTTTTTTTTGTCTTTGTGAGACAGGGTTTCACCATGTTCAGCCTGGTCTTGAATTATTCACTTTGTAGCTCAGGATGACCTCAAACTCACAGCAATTCTCCTGCCTCAGCCTCCCAAGTGCTGGGATTACAGTCATGCCCCACCACATGCAGCACTTAATCAAAATTAAATGTTTATGGTTGTACAGTGGCACATGTCAATAATCTCAGTACTGAAGGAGTCTGAGGCAGGAGGATTGCAAATTTAAGTCGTGCCTAGGCAATTGACCAAAACTCAAAATAAAAATACAACAATGGTTGGGGATGCCAAGGGATATATCTCAGTAGTATAGCATCTGTCTGGCAAGCTTAAAGTCCTGAGTTTGATTCTTGACACCAAAAAAAAAAAAGAAAGATTGGGAAGGCAACAGGGATGTAGCTCTGGAGTGGAACACTTGTATAACAAGCAGGAGGTCTTGGTCCTCAGCACCAGAAAATTAAAAAACAAACAAAACAAAAGGTTGGGGATGTAGCTCAGTGGTAGAGCATCCCTGGGTCCCTGGGTTCATTACCTAGTACAAAAAAAAATTTAAAGTTTATGACAGATAAGTAAATGTGTTGGTTTTTTTTTTTTTTTTTTGGTGCCAGGGATTGAACTCACGACTTCCAGTTTGCAAAGCAGGCACTTACGCTGCTGAGCTAAATCCCTGGCCCAGTAAATGTGTTTATTAAACTAAAAAACAAGATCTACTAGTGATGAGTGTGAACCATGTCAGTATGTCAACAACTCCAATGTAACATGAAATTATCTGTGGTTTCCATTGGTGACAGTCATAAATTCAGTACTATACTATTAGTACTGTTATGATTTTGTTGCCTACATTTACTTTATTTATTTTGTTTCCAAATCCTTTTTATTTAACCATAAAAAGAAAAAAAAGGAGGAAAAAAACTACAACGAAATTTCAAAACGTGTCAATCTCGGGTTAACAATGGTACAAATGAAACAATATGATGTTTACACATGTGTGTATTTATTTCACTAATGAATATGTTCTCAAGTTGCATCCATTTACCTAAAAAAGTGCCCATTTTATCATTCTTTATGGCTGAGTAGTACTTCATTGTATAAAAATACCGTATCTTTTTTATCCATTCCTCAGTTGATGAGCATTTAGGTTGTTTCCAAGATCAGGCTCTTATAAACTGTGATGCTATAAACACGGATGTATATGCCTGCACTCACTTTAAAAGGAAATGCTAAATGTTAATTACAAATTCCTGGTTGGGTGTGATGGCACACACCTGTAATTCAGCATATGAAAGGTTGAGGTAGTAGGATCACTTGAGTTTGAAACTACCCTGGGCTACGTAGTAACACAAGGCTATCCTGAACTACAAGGCAACACAGCACAGCACAGCACACATCAGTAAAAATAAAGAAAATAAAGATGTGGCCAGAAGTGGCCGTACATGCCTGTAGTCCCAGAACTTTAGGAGTCTGAGGCAAAAAGATCACAATTTCAAGCCTATCCTGGGCAACTAAGCAACTTAGTGAGACCCTGTCTCAAAACAAAAAATTAAAAATTAAAAGCGCCCTGGACATCTTGTAACTTAGTGTGAAGGCCCTGGGTTCAATCCCTAGTACTAAAAGAGGTCGGACACTGTACTTGATGTTTTTCCAACTTAACTGCTGAATTGAAATGTTAGAAATAGCCTGGGCATGGGTGGTGCATGCCTGTAATCCCAGCACTTGGGAGGCTGAGGCAGAAGGATGGTTGCAAATTTAAGACCAGCCTGGTCTACAAAGTGAGTTCAAAGCCAGTCTGAACTGCACAGAGACTGACACAGGACTGCTACAAGCCTGGGCTACATAGCAAGAACCTGTCTCAAATAAATAACAGCCTACCTGGAAATGTAGCTCAGTGTACATAAAGCATGGGTTCAATCCCCAGAACAACAAAAAATTCAGGTTGGAGGCAAGAACAACAAAGACCTATTACATGACCTATTACATGACACAGAGGCTGATGCTAAAGATCTGGATTCTATGATGCCAAAGCAGAAGACTTGTGTCACTTTTTCTACTATTTTTAATCTACAGTGTGATTCTCCCTCAAAAAAATCAGATAATGCCAGTGTTTTCCCAGTTTAGTAATACATAAACCACAGTCTATAGGATACTGTTATAGATTACGAAAATCAATACAGGGACATACAAGAATTCTGAAAATTATTACTGGATTTAATAAAAAATCATATATTTTCACATGTAATTTTTCATTTTATTTAAGAAAAAACACCGTAGGGGCTGAGGATTTAGCTCAGCGGCATAAGCGCCTACCTTACAAGCAGGCAGTCGCGAGTTCGATCCCTGGTACTGATAAAAAAGAAAAAAGACCAAAAAAAAAGAAAAAGAAAAGAAAAACACTGTGTGGGGCCAGGGATATAGCTCAGCAAAGCACCTGTCTGGCAAGCACAAGATCATGAGTTCAATCCCCAGTACCAAGAAAGAAAGAAAAGAAGGCAGGCAGGCACTGTATTTGATGCTCTTCCAACTTAATTTCTTAATTTAAATATTAGAAATAGCCTGGGCATGGTGTTGCACGCCTGTAATCCCAGCACACAGGAGGATAAGTCAAGATCACTGGCGTTCAAGGCCAGTTTGGGCTACACAGAGTTCATGGCCAGCCTGGACTACATTAAAAAAAAAAAAAAAAAAAAACAGAATTGAGCTGAAAACCTAGTTACTTTATTGTATGAATCAACCCAGGGGAGGAGTCAGTCACAGACCAGGATGTACCAGGGAGGTTGAAGGTGCTGTGAACTCTGAAGGCAGAAGCAGAAGCCCAGCAGAACTTTTAGAGGAACTAAATAAAAATAAAGCAGATTAGTTATTAGGAGGATTAATTTAAATAGTACAGTAAAAATATAATGCTTTTTAAAAATATAATGCTTTTTCAAAAAAGTATTTAGTTTTAAAGTAAAGGCCCAGTACATGGCACATACCTGTAATGCCAGCACTCAGGAGGCTGAGGCAGGAGGATTACCTCAAGTTTGAGGCCAGTCTGGGATACAGAGTGAGCTCAAAGCTGGACTGTACTACATAGCAAGACTCTGTCTGAAAAAAAAAAAAAACAAATACTTAAAAGGCTAAAGTTATGTGCCAGATGGCTATAAGTAATGTCCTTTGGAGGATGAGTGACTGAAAATTTTGGGTCCAGTTTACCTCAAAAAACAAAAGGTTCATGGTTCATAATTCCAGCATCTTGGGAGGCTGAGGCAAGAGGTTTACTCCAGTCTAGACAATTTAGAATTTAGCAAGATCCTGTTTCAAAATGAAAGTAAAAAAGGGCTAAGGATATAGATCAATGCAAAGGCCCTGGATTCAATCTCCAGTACCCCCCCACACACACACAAAATTCCCTTGTCCTGGATTAGGAAATTTGAATTTCACTGTTAAATTAGACTATATTGTTCTTTCTTTTTCTTTTTTTGTACTGGGAATCAAACTCAACTTTGAGCTTCCCAAGGCGCTGTGCTGCTGAGCTATATCCAGGACCAGATTTTCTTTTTCTACTACTGATCTTCCTTAAAACTACATTCCAAGGGGACTGGGGGTTTAGCTCAGCGGCGCAAGCAGGCAGTCGTGAGTTCGATCCCCGGTACCGATAAAAAGGAAAAAAGACCAAAAAAAAAAAAAAAAAACTACATTCCAAGGCAGTGGGTGTAGCTCAGTGGCAGAGTGCTTGCATACCCTGTGGGAGGTCCAGGGGTTTGATCCTTAGCATTACAAAATAAACAAAAATCTACTCACCAAATCTATGCATGTACGCAAATGCTTAAACACAAGACTATTCCACCCTTTCTAACTTAAAAGCTATGTTTCTTACTAAACAGTATAGAATTTCTAAGGCTTTTTCACTTTTCTTCTATATTTAAAATCTGTAGATCTAGCCATTTCTACACTTAAATTTCTCTTTCCTGCCATTCCCATTATTTTTTCCCCAGTGTTGGGCTGTCATTTTTTTTTTTTTTTAATCTTGTTGAGACAATTTCACTGTGCAGTTCAGGTTGGCCTTGAATTCACTTTGTAGCCCAGGCTGACCCTGAATTCACAGTGATCCTCCTGTCTCAGCCTCCCAAGTGCCCCTATTACAAGTGTTCACCCAGTTTCATCATTCTTTATATTCCTGTTAAACCCACTCTCCACTCCAATTTCTATCTGGATAATTCTTAGTTATCTACTGTTCCCACCTTCTGATGAACATGTTCGGAATTTGAGAATGGGATATAAATAAGAGGTGAAAACACACTGGACATCTCTAAAGTATCACTTAAGTAATAAAGCAATTAAGTTATCTAAAAACAACTGAATTTTTACTGATGTGAGCCGGTGGTGTCAAAGTTTTATCTCTATTGCTGACTACTAAAAGATAACCCTAGTAGGGAGCTAGGCAGGGCTGGGTGTGATGAAGCACACCTGTAATCTCAGTACTTTGGAGGCTGAGGCAGGAAGATTGCAAACTGCAGCCCAAAAGCAATTCAGCAAAATCCTGTATCAAAATAAAGAGTGATGTGAAGGATGTGAAGACTCTGGGTTAAATCCCCAAGAAGAAAGAAAGAAAGAGCCTTGTCTTGTATAACTTGATATCCCACAAAATACCTAACATGCACGCAGAAAACATTCATTTACTGAATAAATATTTAGGTAATATCAGCATGCAACACACTCCCTGTCTGCTCAACAAAAATTACCTTGTAATAAATCAGACCACCATTATGTTTAGCTTGCTTTCTTTCTTTTTTTTTTTTTTTGTACCAGGGATCAAACTCACAACCTCAGGCTTGCAGGCGGGCATATATTATGCCGCTGAGCTAAATCCCCGGCCATCCATTATGGTTAAAAGACATCAATCCGATAAACAATTTAGGAGTACCTACAATAAAGAAAATTGATAAAACTAAAGCCAGGCATGGTGGCTCACTCATGTAAGCCCAGCACTTTGGAGGCTGAGGCAGGAGGATCCTGGTGAGTTCGAGACCAGTCTGGGCTACAAAGTGAACTCAAGGTCTGCTCGAACTGCATAGACACCCTGTCTCAAAAAAAAATGATAGCTTGATAAAGCTATCACTTAAAAGAAATCGAACAAAAATATCTATACTTACCTACAGTGTTCGGAATGAGACCCTCTCAATACTCAAATCTGAAATAATCCCTTGCTATCTATAAAATGACACAAATCTCTTTTGCTTCGATTCTTGGTTATAGCTTTTAAATTGGGGTGCACAGGTTTACAGAGGCAATGAATCAAGACTGTCCATTTCATCCCTCCAATTCCGCGCTTCTGTGCAAATGAACCTCTCAGCAGACTAGAGGTAGAGCTAATCAGAGCAGCAGCCCTGGGAAAATGCACATTGGCGGGTGGGGGTGGTGCTCTAGGCTAAGCCACCAATTGTAAAACAAAAAATTGATCTTTTAAAGTAAAATGGTAGATTTTGTTTTAGAAAGGGATGAGTTCAATGTAAACATTTTCAATACTTAAAAAATAGTCTCAAGTGGGACCAGTAAAAGAGAACAGCAAAATTTAAAAAAATACACGTTTAAAAACGACTTGAAAAAAATATCCTGCTTGCTGGGCATAGTGGTGCACGCCTGTCATCTCAGCACTCGGGAGGCTGAGGCAGGAGGATCGTCGCGAGTTCAGGGCAAACCTGGACCACATAGTTCAAGGGAGCCCGAACTACATAGTGAAACCGTGACCCAAAAGAAAAAGTTAACCTGCTTGACCTCTAAGCTGGTGTGCCAGCTAAAACTAGCCCTCTTCTAACATAGCCATCGCCACACGGTCAGTTTAGGGGAAGCTTCCAATGGTGTTGGGGCCGAGGTGCGCCAGCCCGAAAAACTGCAGATCCCGAGAGGGGAGCTTGGCGGGCTGGCTTTCTAAAGTTGGTGAAATTGTACAAAGTCAAAGAGATTTATCCAACATCCGTTGCCGGGCTTGTTTTGGGACAACTCAAGTAGCTTTTAGGGTTCTGGACCTTATTAATCTCCTCATCTGCAAAATGGAGCAGGCGCCTGCAGCGCGCAGGACGCAGGAACCCCGGGTTAGCATCCGCGCCCTCGGCGTGAGCGCAGCCATCCAGTCAGGACCGGCCGGCCGTGGCGCGCACAACAGGGCAGTTCGCAGGAAGTGCTGTAGGGTAGGGAGGGGAGACCGAGGGCGGAGGCGGGAATGTGAAAGCCGAGCCCTAACAGCGGAGTTTGTACCGAAGCGCTGGAGAGGCGGGGCGAAACTGGGGTGAAGGGGTTAGGCAGTAGATGGGCAAGACCGCCACCTCCCCCGAAGAGAGAGCGCTGGGTGCGGGGGAGGCTCTGAGGCAGCGGCTGAGGAACGCGGGGGGAGGGAAGCAGCGAACTCGCTCAAGAAAGGGGCGGGAAGAGCGCTCCCACCGCACGCATGCGCGCGCCCAGCTCCTCCAGCCCGCAGGCGTGGGCTCCTGTCCGCGCGCCCAGCACCGACGTTGCGGACGCTAGAGCAAGAGGAGGCACACAGTGCTCCCGCCTCGCCGGCACCTGGGAGGCCCTCGAGGTGGCGGGCGGACACCTGTTTCTCAGGAGGGCTTTAACAAGCTAGGGAAGGGAGCACGTCTCCTATCCTCGGCTCGTTTCAGTCCCCTCCCCCACGAAGAGTGGGACGGGAGGTCCTGGGCGTGTCGGAGAGTCCGCTCCGGGTTTTCCCGCCCACTTTAACTCTGAGCGCTTCGACCGCGCGGTGCTTCACTCCACCGGGCGCGCCCGAGTCCTCCGCCGGAACTTATTCCGCCTCCCCCACACATCCTTCTACAGGAACGGAAAGTGGGCGCTCGGACCTCTTTCCCTAAGGTCCCTCTGGGCGGGCCGCCACGCCCTGTCTCTCGGGGTTCCGACTCAGGCAGCCCCTGACATCTAGAACTTCCCTCTAATAAGGTCGCTCTAAGGGACTACTTGATGTCTCCGTGCGCCCGGTGGTGCGGCCGCGCTCCGAGCTCTTCCTGGAAACTCCCGCCTCGCGGAGCCAGGAGAGCCGGACCGGGGGGAGGGGCGCAGGAGGGACGTGCACGCCCCCCGTCCCGGGGGAGGGCTCCGCGCCCCCGCCCTTCTGGCGGGGGTGGGAAGGCGGAGGAGGGGAGGAGCGGGCGCGGAAACCGAGGAGGGGGTTGCTTCCCGTCCCACCCCCAGCTTCCAGAACAACGGGTTCCCGCTGCTGCCCCCTGCCGCCCGCCGCGCGCCGCTCCCCGCACCCCTGCCGGCCACGGAGAGGGGCGTCGGGGGCGCCTCAGCCGCTGAGACCGTGGGAACCCGAGTCAGGACGTTGAAGACCTGACCGGTTTCCTGTCAGAAAACTTGCAGGGACTTCAGACAAGCCTGTTGGAGCAACTCAGTCTCAGCCAGCCGGCGTTGGCCACATTTCACAAGCCTAGTGACTTCCCTTTTACTGTACTTTCAGACGACGAGGAATGAGCTTGGGAGACGCACTCAGTTGGCAAAATGAATAACACCACGTCGCACTGTTCTGACTTAAAGGAAATAAAACAAATTACCAATTGTGAGGGTTTTTTTTAAAGGGTTACCAATAGAAGGAAACTCGGAGTTTGACTGTCTCCCTGCCCCGTGCGCGCGCGCGCCGTGTACACAAAGATTGAAGTCATGGGAGTTGATTACAGCAGTACATCTGCTTGTAAGCTTACTGGAGTTTGTGGTTTAAAAAACCTCGCGAACTTTTCAAAAGAGAAGCGTTTGTTTCTGGGTCCAACAGGAGGAAGGGGAAAAAAAATTAAAAAGAGCCTGAAAAAGTTCAATTAGAACAGCAGCCACATTTCAACATTTCCCAGATTTTGCAATATTAAACCGGGAGGGTCGATGCTAAATCTGAAGGCAAGAATTCTTACTGCCAAATTACAAATTTCTCAAAATGAGGGGTGTTCAACCAAATTGTTGCCAGACCCCATAAACAGGCACTAACAGCACTACTATAATTACACCTTATTATCTCCCTCACAGCCTCATTTGATTCACTGCCGGATAAAATCTTCTCGGATGTCTAACTGGTCTGTTTCTGGGTCTGAACAATCACACACCTCCCGTGTCTCAGTTCATCCAAAGAACTGTATAATCCATCGCCTTCCATTCCATTCCATTTTCTCTAGTCGATCTCTTCCTAAAATGCAATCCAATCAGATAGGTTCTTTTCACTGCAAGCCTCCCCAGGGACTGAAAAATGAAGAAAATGAAAACAAACATCAGAATTTTGAGAAAAAAAATTTTTTTTGAAGAAAAAGATTTAGGCCAAGAAACCAAGAGTATTATTTAACATGAACCCCTTAAGGGGATTTAGCATAGTGGTCTTGAAAGCAGTTAAACCAGCTTAATCACTTTCTTTGTTCTGGCTCTTTGCATTTATTTAATGTACTTTAAGGAGATTTGATACAACCTAAACTGATTTCTTCTGTTAGTGTAGTCTGCATGTGAAACATACAGTACAGCCAAAGATAAATTTCTGTAGACCTCTTGACATTTTTGTAGAATTCTGTAATAAACTGCTGTGACCAATAATTAAAAAGCAGGAGTTTAGGAGGGATAGTATAGAAAAGGAGAGAAGATCATGTTTTTTGTTTTTTTGTAATGTGGAGATTTTAGAAAAGTTTGGACGTGTAGACTTTTTTTTTTTTTTTTTTTTTTTTGTAACATCTACTAGGAGCTGTATTTACTCTGAAATGTTTTGTTGTGGTTTTTTTTTTCTCAGTAGGGAAGGAAGAGATTATACTGGATCTCATCTCCGGATAAATTTTAATTCTCCGGTCCTCTGTCTCTTAACAATTCTACCCTGCTCTTCATCAGCCCCAGGTTGAGGGGCCTTCATTCACAAGTGACTCTTGAGCCTCCTTCTGAAAGTCTTCTTCCTTATAAAGCCAAAACTGCAGCAGTGCTTAATGAATCATGGCTTGTAAAGATGCAGGCAGAAAGTCCAAGTACCTGGGAGAAATAGTCTTGATTCCATCCTACCTTTAAATCCTCTCACGAAGTGCAGGAATAATAATAGTAGATGTTATTTACTGTAGATGAGCCAGGCACTGTTCTCAGCTCCTTGTATGGGTTAATTCCTCTCAGTAGGCCGAAGAAGTGGGTATAGTCCTTGCCATTTTTTATAGATAAGGCAGTTGAGACACATAGAATTGAGTAACCTGGCTTGCAAACAGAGCTAGGATTTAAACCTAGCTCTGGATTGCTCCTGGATGCTTCTTAGTACCCAAAGTGTAACTGAAGAGTGAAGATAAACCATTCCAGTAGTTCACCACTATTTGCATTCAAAATGTGACCTCGTCCTAGGCCGGGTCTTCTTTTTCTTGAACTCCACTATAGTGATATTTGTTGTGATCTGCTTAGGGAAAGCATTCCCAAATCAGATTACTGTCTTGGAAGCCAGCCTCAAACTGTCAGCATATGCAGCAGAAGTACTAAACAGGACAGACACATCCAATCTCACTGGATAATAATGTTTCAGAACATGCCTACTTCACATTATAAAGAAGCAAAATGGTTAGAAAGCAGTTTGGATTCTCTGATGTTGACAGGGTAAAAACCAGGAAATGAAAGTGGAGAGACAAAGCAGTGCAAGTGGAGAAAAAATAAATTAACATATGTGCACGTGGAGAGATCAGCACCACACTGCAAAAAATAAGGATCAAGGTCATGCAGAAGAGAAGCGTGTGGGTGTGTTATGACAGAACCAGAAAAGGAGCATAAACATGAAAACTGAGTACATGCAAGGGGAGGTGGTGGGAAGTCAGGGTGTATTTTCCCCCTCCATATGGAGCTTCAGAACAAGTACAATTTTAGGCTGAATTAAAAGAAATACAGTATCTGGAACAAGGAGAGAAAGAACTCCCTTTTATTATGTAAGACTGTAATCTAAATAACGTTCTTTCGAGGAATACAATAAAGAGGACAACCAACCAAAGAAGCAACAGTACTTCAAAACTCTGGCTTATGAAAAAGAGCTGAAGAATTCACAAGTGATTCAAGAGCCATCTTGAAATACCTAGTGTACAAAGGGAATTGGACTTGTGCTGGGAGGCTACAAGGATCCAGAACTGATGGGTAGGAACTTTGGAGACACACACTATATTTTAGTTCGGAATGTGGAAAAAGTCATGCAAATGTGAAATAGGCTGCCAAATGTGACAGGTTTCCTATCACTGGTGGCATTCAAAGTGCACATTGGCACTGGCCTATATGATGTTTAAACTGCCTTTACCAGTCACTTGGAATTAACTTGGGCACAAAAAGGGGGAAACAGTATAACCTGCCTCACTAGGTTTTTGGAAAGCACTTAGCGCAGTGAATGTGCTCTGAAAGTCACAGAATAATAACATCCCCATAGTGCCTCGGTTTGGTATTTCTAAATTTATCGGTGGGCAGTTCTTTTAATCTTTTGTGTGTAGTTTTTTTTTTTTTTTTAAACAGGGTTTCCCTGACCTCAAACTCCTGCTTCAACCTCCCAAGTGCTGGGATTACAGGCTTGCACCACACCACCATGCCTGGCATATAGTTGCTTTTTTTTTTTTTTTTTGTAAGGGCCAAATAACTTCCTTTGGGGCCTGAGAATTACAGTTTAGGAAAACAGATTCAGACAGTTCTAAGTGAGTACTCTCTAAATCATTTCTTTGACATCATTACTATTATTGTCAGTAGTGGCTTTGCTAATCACTTGGCATAGTTAGGATTTCCTTGTGCACCTAAAATTCAGTTAGTAGTATTCAGGGAGCTATGGTGTGATTTTTATACTACCAAGATTTAAAGAATAGGGGCTGGAGATTTAGCTCAGCGGCATAAGCATACCTGCCTTGCAAGCAGGTAGTCATGAGTTCGATCCCTGATAAAAAGGAAAAAGACAAAAAAAAAAAAGAATCAAACTGTAACAACACACTGCCATTCCAAAGGCCAGCAATGTCGGGCAACTGTAGGAAAAGTGGAGAAAATAATGAAAGTCTTGGCAGGCTGAAGAAGAATGCAAGAGGTGCAAGAGAATATTGACAGCTGAAAAGCAATAGAATATCTTTCCTTATTCTGGATACTGTTGTACTGGGGACCGAATTCACAACCTTGCACTTACTGGGCAAGTGTGTGAGCTACTAAACTCAGCCCTGGGTACTGTGTTGCTGTTAATCCAGGCATGGTAGCACATGTCTATAATCCTAACAGTCTGCTAGGCTCAGGCAGGAGAATTGAAAAGTTCCAGGTGGAGCATGCCTGTGATCTCAGCACTTAGGAGGCTGAGGCAGGAGAATTGATGTAAGTTTGAGGCTAGCCTGGGGTACATAGAAAATTGAAGTAAAAAAAAAAATCCCAAAGAAAGAAAGAAAATTGAAGTCCAGCCGGAAATACATAGCAAGGCTTTGTCTCACTAAAAACAAAAGAAAAACCAAAAAAAAAAAAAAAAAAAAAAAAAAAAGGAAAGAAAGTTCCAGACCAGCCTAGGCAATTTAGAGAAAAAAAAATAAAAGGGCAGGGGATGTAGTTCAGCACAAAGGTCCTGCGTTTAATGGGCTGGGGTGGAGAAAAACAATACCAACCATGGTTAGCCTCATTTTACACACAAAAATCAGAAGTGTTGGCTCATTTTGAGCAAAAAATGTCTTGAAAACAGCTGGGAAAGGTGAAACCCTGGAGCTGAGAAAGACCAGTTAATCAATGAACTGGTTACCTGCTTACCCTGGAAATCTAATTTTGTAAAGAGTTATTGTTCACAGTATTAGGGTTTAAGCCCGAGATCTTTCCACTGAGCTACGTCATCGGACTTTCTTTCTTTTTCCTTTTTAGAATAGGTCTTACTTAGTCACCAAGTTGCCCAGGTTGGGCTAAAACTTTTAAGAGATGCATTGATATTATCAATTATTAGACATGGGGAAAGCAAGTTATCAAGAACCACAAATGTATGTAGATCGAGTTGAAACTTGTAATCCTCCTGCCTCAGCCTCCTA